TTGTAGCCTGTCTGGTTTGGCTTTGTCACAATACATCTCTATATATAGCTTTTAGACATACCTGTTACAGTGATAGGTCATCCAAATCAGTGAAGTAATTTTAGAAGTCAAAAAGGAGAATTTGGCTTCATTCTACAAAATGAAAGAGATTACTTTTTCAAAAGATTACATTTTGAAATACAAGATTATTACATGGAAAATCCTTTAAGAAACATTCTTTGAATAAATCTTAGATGCTCAAAGCACTTCCCATCGGTTTTCACCATTAGCTAGAACTAGGGATGTAAGCATCTAATCACTTCCCCCTCTTGCTGCCTCTATCACAAATAGGTAGCAAGGTGAAGGAAGAAGAGAGGGGGTGCTGGTACTGGAGGGAGCCAGCTTAAAAGTCGGCTTCCCTCAGCTCCAGGTCCATGGGAGGAGACAGGGGCACAACGGCAGCCAACTTTGAAATGTACAGGTGTCCCCTCTGGGACTCTTGTACGTTTCAAAGCTGGAACACCACGTGGTGCCCCGGGCGAGTGGGGATTCCCCCACTGACCCTAGGCTCCATGCGGGTGCTTCACCTTTGAGCCCCCGCGGGGGACCTTTGTACATTTCAAAGTTGGAAATGCTGCATAGAGCCCAGGGCCAGCAGAGAGTCTCACTGAACCTGGGCTCCACACAGGCGCTTCCGCTTTGAAATGTACGTTTCAAAGGTAGAATGCTGAAATTCTTATTGACTAATTGACTAGTCGATGGGAATTCCATCAACTTTTCGATTAGTTAATCAAAATTTAACATCCCTAGCTAGAACATATATTTATTTATTTCGACAGTTTGAGATAGATGGTAATGTAAGAATATTTTTTCTCCTCTCTCTCAGTATAGTGTAATATAGTATATTGGCCACTCGGTAAAGGAAAGTTCAAAGAAAGGTCCAGAGCTTTATTTGTACAGATCATGTCATATAGGCATTACTATTGCAAAGGGACACATTTTGGAGGATTACTGTAAAGGTTATCCAGTGCTTAGTCATGCAACTAAGAAATGAGACGCCAAAACAAGCCAACTATAACATAGTGTAATTCCAGTGATAGGAATCAGTAATGAAAAGAAAATAAATGTGTAAGGCAGAAGTTCTACCAGCTGTATATTTATGGTTTATCAAAGCTAGGCCAGCAAAGTCCAATGGAGATAGACAGGGAATCTTTACACAGCTAAATGCCTGGTTCCTGTAATGAGGTCTGTTGAATTGCATCTTCCAGGATTTTCTCCAGTAATTCATTGGCAGGCTTTTTCTCCCCAACTAAATATTCTTTCTGGGCTTCTCTAATACATAGTTTTGCCAGGAAGAGGATTGCCACATCAGTTGTCTGTCATTAGAGGCTTTCTCTATTGGGACTAACGTGCAGCATTCTGTCTATACATCTCAACTTAGACCTGGAAATTATTTGTATATTTATTTAAACGAAAATATTATTTTAATTTCTGACTATGCCCATTGCTCATTTCAAATAATAAATGCCTTCTTTATGACTCTATTTCCTGGGCATCTCCTTAGAATGCCATAGGATTGTATATAAATTAGTTCTTTAAGGATGTCTACTGCTGGGACCCTTTTGTATTCTGAGATTTCACAGCACAGAATTTGCAGCAAATGATTTGTGCTTCATAAGTTAAACTGTCGGTTAATAGTAAAAAGTAAGTTTCTCTCATTTGAAGGTTGTGAAGGAAGCCTTTAAAATATGAACTGCTTGAAGTGGTCTCCTGAGTTCTCCTGAGTTTGCACGCAAACCACATGAAAGTGACAGCTCTTGAGTGTTGGGAACAATCTCCTCATTCATGCAGTTCAGCATTAATGCTGAAGACAAACAGTGATCATTTATGTCAATATTAACATTTTTACTGATGGTTATAAAGAAAAACATTCATCTTGTGTGTTTATAGTTGCTGGATGCTGCAAAAGATATTGAGACATTGGAAAAATGTTGCAAATGGTTGTTAGACAGTAATTCAAGTCTTCACTCAAAATCTCAATTTCCTTCCTTGTGAGAATAGGAGAACAAGAGATACATCCACTCTAAAGTGCCAAAAATCTCAACAGCTCCTCTTGTGCCAAAATTAAAACTACCTTCCTTGTTTTTATAGATGCTAAAAAAGCTCCAGGCGTGTTCTGCCCAGCTGTCAAGACCTCTAGGTTCCTCCTCACAAATTGCATGGAATAAGTTATGTCCCTGAACTGGGTTTGGTGAAACATAGGTTCTGTTCCTGGCTGGGCTACAGACCTGCTATGTGACCTTGGACATGTCACTTCACCTCTTTCCTCGCTTTGCCCTTGTGTGTCTTGTCTAATTAGAATGAAAGATTTTTGTGACTTGGTCTCTCTGGCTGTGTGTTTGCACATTGCTTAGCACATAAGGAGCCAGTCTCAGTTCAGTTCTGTAGTTATTAGAGATGTGAAAATGTAATTGTGTATATGGTTACATACAAGGCCCACCCCCTGCACTACTGCCTCTGTATCAGAGACAACAGCACGGGGAGCCGACTAGCTCTGGCGGAGGTGCTCCCTTCCACCCCTCCCCCGGCATTGCTGCCTCTCTAAAAGGCAGCATCATTGGGGACAGGTCGGAGCTGCCTGCCCCCACATGCAACCACTGACTTTTTTTCCCCAGCAGTTACACAATTACTTACTTAAATGCATTTTAACTTCTTTAGTACTTAATACCTTAAATACAAATAATAAATGAGAAAGTCAGTGAAAAATGATAGTGCTGGGAACAGCATAACACTTAATTCAATATCAAAACTAATAAGATAAAAATATTTTATAGTACTGCTTGTCATCTTTAATTCAATAAAAGCTCAGTGGCATAGAAATGCACCCTGATGATCAACAAGGCACAGTGTATGCAGGTGATGTTTGATGCCTAAGACTCCTATTTTTGTTTGTCTTAGTTCTATTATGTTTAACAAGTTTGCAGGACAGCCTATCCTATGTTAAACCAACAAGGACCCTATGGCACCTTAAAGACTAACAAATTTATTTGGGCATAAACGTTCATGGGCTAGATTTTATTATTTAGTCTTTGTCATAAACCTTATCAACTGTAGTGTCAATTTCTGTATAGTTTTCAACTTGGTCAGTTTGGGCTACCGCTTCCTCAAACTTATCAAATGCAGCTAGCTAGTATTGCCTTACTTTTTCTAAGAAGTAGCTCTGGCAATGAGGGTTTGCTTTTTTTCCTCAAGCCACCTTCTGTCCACAGGGGCCACCTGACTGAGGCTACGTCTAGACTGCCGCTTTCTTTCGGAAAAAGATATGCAAATTGCACACTGCAATTTTTGTACCTTTTTCTGATTATTTTTTTTGGAAGAGGCTTTTTCAAAATTTGGCCCAGCTACACTGGGCCAAATTTCAGAAAAACCTCCTCTTTCAGAAGAGTCCTTATTCGTCATAAAATGAGGAAAACTGGGCTTCCGAAAGAGCACGTCTGCTCTTCTGCAAAAATGCCAGAAGAGCAGACGCGTTCCCTGAACGCAGTGGAGTTTTTCCGGGTATCTCCGGTATCCCAGGAAAAACTCCATAGTCTAGACATAGCCTGAGTGACTGAGCTTCAGAAATAACATCTTAGTTTTGAAAAAATGTGTTTTTTGGATTTTTTTTTTATTATACAGATTATTTTGTATGGGCAATTATAGCCTTTTGGGAAGCTTTCATGCTGTAAAAGCACTATCTTGTTGCTTATTATGTAAATGCTACCACAACTTTCCACGTTCATATCTGTCTTATTCATTCATGTAAGCTCTGCTCATATCTCCCAACCTGCCAAGATCCAAGCGTGGAATGGATGTAAGTGGTAAGGAGTAGAAATGGGAGGAACAAACAATTATTTATGCAGAAAATAATTTGCTGCTAATTCCTTTTAGAAAAAATAACTTTGTGTAATCAGCTTTATTATTCTTTACTGTAGAACCTCAGAGTTACAAACACTTCAGGAATAAAAGTTGTTTGTAACTCTACAATGTTCTTATCTCTGAAGTTTAAACTCTGACTTAATACAGCTTTGAAATTGCTGCTTTCCCTTTATTTTTCTAGTAGTTTACATTTGACATAGAACGGAACTGTATTTTTTTGTTTCTCCCACTGTTGATTGTGTACTCCTGCTTCCAAATTTGGTTGCCTAGTCAGGTCATAATTGTGGTGTTCATAATTCTCAGATTCTAGTGTATTTCTGATGTGAATAATTTATAAAAATGATGAGATGTATCTAAGATTGAGTATAGCCTTTTTCCTCTAAGCGGTATTACATGGCAAAAGATGAATGAATAAAGATGGTAAAAACATGAATTTATCTTTCTTAGGCAAGGCTTAATGAGTGACTTACTTGCCACATAACTCCTTAATTTTGAAGTGAAATAAGATTTAAATCTTGCACAGGCATTTTTGCTTGCCTTATGCAGTGGGGAAGTTTTGCCTTGAATAAACAAACAATGGGGGCAAAAAAAAAAAGCTATCACTAGCATGTTTAGATATTCAGAGGGGATTACTGTTCACTTGTACACATAACTAGTCTATGTAAACAGGTTCCTACCATTATTACCTTTGTCTTCTCCCTAATTCCACCAGATGGTTTTACTTCCATTTGTGGCATCTTGTCTGAAAATAGATTGTAAACTTAAAGTTCCAGGAAAAACAAGTACCAGGAATCCCGCACTAGTCCTTTTTATTTATTTTAAACTGACAAATATAACTGAGTTTTTATTATTTATGATGCTTCAAAATATTTGGGGAAATATTTTATAGTATACTTTATAAATGTTAAGAAGTTTTTTTAGGTGTATCCGTGCCTGTACTCTATTGTGAAACCTTCAATGACAAGTGTGATGAAACCTTTGGGTTTTTATCAAGTTTGTAGATTAGCAAAGTTTGATTTACTATAGTACTTTCACTCCCAACTTTCTGCAAATACTATATATGAAAAGAGGTATAATTTGAATATTTATGTTCGACTTTTCAGATCCAGAACGCCAATGATGTGTTAATAGCACCTCTGGAAAAGTTTCGTAAAGAACAAATAGGTGCAGCAAAAGTAAGGAACCAGTTCTTATTTATTTGATATTTGCTTGAAGTTCATACTATGTCACTTGATAGGTTATACACATTTTAAAGAAAATATTCCATTGTTCTCATTGAATTTATGTAGTGGTAAATTGGACTTAGTTCTTTGCTTCAGTGGAACGGAACATTTTAGAAGTGACATTTTAAGGTTCTGGATATATTGCATACCTCAGGCACTAAGAGAACTCCTAGTTGTTGCAGCAAATCTTTCATATCCTTAGTTACCTTATTTTTTAGATATTTAGGTTTAATTCAATCCCATCTGGAAAACAAAAAAGTAACTGAGAAATAATTGAAATCATTCAGTTTTGACTTGCTCACTCTCTTATATGCATTGTGAACATCTCCAAAGACCTTGACAAAACTTCCTGCTGTTTTCGTCTGTTCTGTGCTAGTTATCTGTTTGCTGCTGTCCTCTTACTCCCAATGTCTGTGTTTAGATTGCAAGCTCTTTGGGATAGGGACTGTTTACTATGGAGTTTTTACAGAGCCTAGCACAATGGAGCCCTGCCCCCATCCTGCCTCTTCCTGCCCCTGCTCTGCCCCTACCCAGTCCCCATTCTGCCCCTCCCCATTGACCCCTACTCTTCCAAGTGACACCAGGAGCCATTAGGCAGAATGGGGCCTGTAGCTGCTGCCAGCCCCTATGCCATCCAGGGCTCATGTTCCCCTGAAGCACAGAGCCCAGATCAGCTGCCCCAAACCATCCATTGGATGGGACAGTTCTGCCTTTGTCAATGATTTAGGCTAGCTAAATAGTTATCAGAGTAGTACATAGTGGCTGCAGCAAAGCTTAGTATTGAGTTTAGGCCATGTGGGGACATATTCAAGAAAGGAGTGTCCTAGGTGTGCTCTCAGCCTAGAAAGTCCTATTTCTTGCTCAATTCTAGATAGAATTCTTAAGGCAAACAGGAACTCTGCTGAATAGTTGCTTTGGAGAGTCTTAAAGGGTACAGGAGCTCATAATATGCATAATTCTGGTACAAGCCACTGGTGTCTGAGTATATGTACTGCTTCTGAAATAGTGCCACCTTTATTTAAAACTTTGCCAATAGATTATCTGGGAAACCCTTCCATTTTAAATCTTGTTTTAGTTTCAGGAAACCATTCTAGTTAAGTTTAGTTCTTATATAAACAGCATGACATGGTGGGCCAAGAAAATAGACAGAAGGGCTTGCACTCTTCCTGCATCAGAGCAGAGTCACATGAGGCGAAATAAATATGATGAGAGGAGAAATGGATGAGTGATAATGTTTGAGTGTACTACTCTAATGAGTGTACAAAGATGGAGAATCCTCTGTACAGAAACTAAACACATGTTTTTCTGTGGACAAAGAGGATGTTTTTTCTTCACTTGTATTTGATATATTGGCAGCTGCATGCTTTTCTCACCGCACCTATGTCCTACTATGGTAGGACAGAACATGGTAATTTGTTTTTAACTATGCTGCAAATAATAGAGTTTAATGTCATCTAAAAATTGTTTCTATTTTTAGCAGTTTTCATTCCTACATGTACTGGAAGTTATTTGATTGTTTGTGTTCCTATTTAATTTTTGTAATAATGGAGCCTCAGAGATGTAACTGCATTTTCTGTAGAGACTCACTGTGTTGTTGACAGGCGTTCTGTCTGGAAAGGCTAAACAAGACTCTATCCAGAGGTCATTAACATGGCTTCTTCCTCGGGTGCAGAAGTCATTGCAGAGCAATTTGCAGCACTCACTGTCCCCCTTTAGATTTATGAAATCATCGATTTGCTAGACAGTTAATACTTCTGTGTTTGGAGATTGCTCCCTCCGTTTTTCTGTTTCTATTAACAGTAACACTAACCACTTTGTACAAGCCTCTTCCTGGGCAGAGAACTTTACAAACATTAATTTTTACCATGTTTCTGCTAGGAATGTCAACCTGTAGACAACTACACAATTAAACAATAAACCTGGGCTTATTGGTTAATCCTATTGATTACACATATTACCACTCCATAGCTGCCTCTCTATCAGCTATATTAGAGGCAGCAAGTGCAGAGGAAGCAGGAGCCAGTGGGTATCCGCCTGCCCTTCCGTCACCCTCACACTGCTGACTGTGATAGAGAGACAGAAGCACAAAGGGTGAAGGGAGCAGGCAGGAGCCAGTACTTGCCAGGAGCTGGCTTTTGAGCAGTTCTCCATGCATGCCAGCTCCGTGGACCGGCTGCTCCCCCTTGCTTTCTCCTACAGAGGTGGAGTGCTGGAGCAGCCCATCTCATATGCCCCAGGAGCATGTGGGAGCAGGAGCTGGTGATGAGTGGGAGCCATCTCTTAAAAGCCATCTCTCCCCCAGCACTGGCTCTGGGGTGCCACCTCTCCCCTCCGCTGCGCTGCTGCCTCTATCAGACATCCCTTGGAACAGCCTCTGTCGCCAGTAATCCTGGGCCCGCTTCGGACAGAGCTTGGACTCCCCAGGCACAAAGGAAACAGTGGTGCAGACATAACCTCAGTTTTGTATACCCTTATTACTAAGCCATTTTATTGTACTTCACAGATTTACCATTCTTGTTAGAGGCTTTTAGACTATTGCCACCTCATGCTGCTGCTTCTGTATCAGAGGCAGCAACATGATGATGCTGGTTTACATGGGGAGCTGTTTTTTTAAACCGGCTTCCCTCATGGATCAGCTCATGCCTGCAACCCTGCACTGCTGCCTCTGATAGACAGTCAGCAGTGCAGAGTGGCAGGGGGCTCCCCGGGAGTTGGGCCGGGAGCATACTGACTGCCAACCTAGCCTACAGGGTCTATCAAATAGTCATGTAACTGCTTAAATCTGATGCCGTTACATGACTGTTCAGTTATATGCTGTCTAATATCCCTAATCCCTGCTGGTGCATAACTGGGGGAAAAGGAACATGTTCAAGCCATACAATAATTCAGTGGCTGAATTAAGACTCAAACCGAGATTGTCCAACTCAATCCTGTGCCCCATTAGACCTTGTTGCCTCACTTTTGGATCATTAGGTTCTTAGGTTAACACCTTTTAGGTTCAGCCACCAAATGAGAGCTCTGCTAGTTGAGTGTTTTAGAAAAATCCAAAATAAATATGTTTGTCTTTTCTTATTCCGCTTTGCCAGAGTTCAGTGTCAGTTTCAGCACTAGGTGGGTCAGACCACACACATAACTTAGGGTCTGATTGGGTCTAGTTTGAGCTAATCAGAGCTGGATCTGCCAAATGAAATAGTTGGGAAGGGGATTGAGTTAAGTAAGAGCAGCACAGAGGTGATCGTTAATAATACTTAAAATTCTTAAAAATAAACTCCAATAGTCTAAAAGCCTCTAACAAGAATGGTAAATCTGTGAGTGTGGTAAAGAACCTATGTAGAATAAACCAGAAAAAAAGTAATATATTAGGAGGTGATTTTTGCCTGATTTTTTTTCTTGAGAAATCAGGTATGCAAAAGTAGGCTGAATTGTGCACCTAGTTTTCATGCATAGTTCTTGCAACTTGTAAGCACAATTCAAGAATCAGTCAAAGTTTATCAGCCTTTGTGACCTAGGGTTACCAGGTAGACCCCCCTCAAAATACCGGACACACTTGATCATGGGTGGGGGAGGGTGGGACCAGCCGGGAGGAAGAGGGACAGGAGACGGGACTGGCGGAGGGGGAGTGCAGCCACTGGCCACAGCCGGAGTCCAACAGGCCGTGCCCCCGGCAGGCACTCCCTCTAGTTGCTGGTAGAAGCCGGGCGGGGGCAAGGGGAGTGGCTGAGAGCCACGCCCCCTTCCCAGCTTCTGCATGCAACCAGAGGCTCCCAGCTGGGAGGCGGGGCCACGATTGGTGCTGGGAGCCTCTGGTTGTGTGCAGAAGCAGGGCGGGGGGAGTGTCTGGGACTCCTGGCCCCCGCCCCGCCCGGCTTTTGCATGTGACCACAGCAATTGCGGCCCCACCTCCCAGTCACTCCCCCGTCCACGCCAGGATTCCATCCGGCGCCCAGCCAGAGTTTCAGAAAATATCGGACATTGCACATGTCCGGTATTTTCTGAATTTCTCTACCGGACAGAGGGCGCAAATACCGGTCTGTCGGGTAGAAAACTGGACACCCGACAACCCAAAATTGTGACCATAGTTTCTGCACCTACATCTTTTTAAAAAACTGTTCTTAATATTGTATTATTTTCCTTCTTTATCAGCCTTTTAGTTTTAATTGTTTATTTTAAACTTAAGTTTAAAATATAGCATGAACTTTGTTGAAGTAACACCTTGCATCAGATATGTATATAATGGGTGTCATTTATACATATCAATATGAGCTTTTGTCAAATTTCAGCAGGGAAGGAAAGGATGTGAGGAAGAATTTGGAGTACTTAGAGTTGCTTAAAGTAGATATAGGCTCAAACAGTTAAAAATAAGAGTTAGGAAGAGGACTTCTGATAGAATTGTAATAATGCAGTTGCACTTTTCAGAAAGGATATTGAGGATAAACTATACCCAAAATATAGTACAAAACTGTACATCATATTTTATATTCAGTGTCATCATAAACCCACGGAGTACAGGTCCAGTAATAAAGAATAATCCTTTGTAAGCGCTCAAGATATGCAGGTACACAACCAAAACCAAAAACTGTCCCCATAGATCTTGGAAATAAAATATTCATGTTTGTAAGCAAACTAACAATACACTATCTGCATCACTTTCTTGATTATTTATATTACTTGCTTTTTTGTTTTTATTCCACATATTTCAGTTCTTCCTTTTTTGTGCACACTCAGTTTCAGTAAAACAGAGAGTTCTCCAGAGACTACACAAATTCAGTCTTGCATTAGGTAGCCCGATGATTTACTCCATCTGAGTTGAAAAAATGACCTCTGTAATTATTGTATAAATCCTAGGAAAAGAGGAGTGAGATAACTGGGAAAAAATTTCAGGAACGAAGCAACTTACCTTATTTGGTAAATGTGGTTTGCTGGTCCCCAGCTGGTAATGTTGGTGAGATCAT